CAGCAGCAGCAGCAGCAAATCAACTTTAGCCTTGTCTTCTGCCTCTCCTGGAGCAGCAGCAGCTGCTGCTGTTGGCGCTGCAGCAGTAACTCTCTTCTATACAATGCTGCTGTTTGCAGCAGCAGCAGCAGCAGCAGCAGCAACAGCAGCAGCAGCAGCAGCAGCAGCAGCAGATTCAGTGAACACACAGCAGCATGGAAGGCAGCACAGATAGCAGCAGGAGAGCATCTCTGCAGCAGCAACAACACCGCAGCTCCCAGCAGCAGCAGCTGCAGCAGCAGCAGCTGCTGCAGCAGCAGCAACTGCAGCGGTAGCAGCAGCAACATCAACAGCAACAGCAACGGCAGCAGCCGCGAAACCAGTAGCTGGAGAGGTAGCAGCACCAGCAGCAGCAGCAGCAACAACAACAAAAACAACAACAATAACAGCAGCAGCAGCAGCAGCAGCAGCAGCAGCAGCAGCAGCAGCAGCAGCAGCAAGCATCTCTCTGCAGCAAATGGCGACGCGACGAATCCCCCCAGCCTTTCAGGTGAGCTGCTGCTGCGGCAATGAGCAGCAGCAGCAGCAGCAGCTGCTGCTGCTGCTGCTGCCTTTGCTGCTCATGCTGTTGCTGCAGCAACACCGAGTCTTGCTGCTGCAGCAGATTGTGCTGCTGCTGCAGCAGTTGTTTCTATTGCTGCTGTTGCTGCTGCTTGCTACTCAACTGGGTGTATCTACAGCTGCTGCTGCAGGCTGAAGCTGCTGCTGCTGCTGCTGCTGTTGCTGCTGCTTCGTGTGCTGCTTCGCCTGCTGCTGCTGATCTTTTGCTGCTGCTGCTGCTGCTGCTGCTGCTTCGCATGCTGCTGCTGCTGCTGCTTCGCATGCTGCTGCTGCTGCTGCTGCTGTTTTGTTTTGCTGCAGTCTCTGAAAGCAGTGACAAATCCTGGAGCGGCTGTGCGGCTCGGTAGACAACAGCAGCAGCAGCAGCAGCAACTGCAGCAGCAGCAGCAGCAGCAGCAACAACTGCAGCAGCAGCAGCAACTGCAGCAGCAGCAACTGCAGCAGCAGCAACTGCAGCAGCAGCAACTGCAGCAGCAGCAACTGCAGCAAGCGTGGCATCGCTGGTACATCCAAAAGCAGCAACAGCAGCAACAGCAGCAGCAGCAGCAGCAGCAGCAACACCACAGGCAGCAACTGCAGCAGCAGCAGCAACACCAGCAGCAGCAGAATGCTGCGCGGCAAGCCCACCGCCTTAACAACAACAGCAGCAGCAGCAGCAGCAGCAGCAGCAGCAGCAACAGCAGCAGCAGCAGCAGCAGGTTCTCGCTTGCATTAACTCGAACGCTGCGTCGTTTAGAGGATAATACAAACAGCAGCAGCAGCAGCAGCAGCAGCAGCGGGCGACAATTGGGAGGTCGTGCTGCAGCAGCAGCAGCAGCAGCAGCAGCAGCAGCAGCGCTGCAGCAGTTCAGCCGTTTCTTTGCTGGAGCAGCAGCAAAACCCTCAGCAGAAGAATGGCTGCTTGTGCACAGGGTTCTGTTGCCTCTCTTGCCTGTAGGGTTTAGGGTTTAGGGTTTAGGGTTTAGGGTTTGGGGTGTAGGATATAGGGGCCGAATTCTAGGGTTTAGGTATCAAGGTTAAGGGTTTAGGGTTTAGGGTTTAGGGTTTAGGGGGCTTGAAATGTTGCAGGAATTTTGCGGCGTATTCATCGAAGGGTTTAGGGTTTAGGGTTTAGGGTTTGGGGTTTAGGGTCTAGGGTTTAGGGTTTAAGGTTTGTGGTGCAGGAGAGGGTTTGTGGTTTGAGGGGTTTTCCCTTCTTTCTCAGCCACCTCATTCAGCACCGCCCGCCAGCAGCACTCGCGGACCTTCCTGCTGCTGCTGCTGCTGCTGCTGCTGCTGCTGGTGTTCCTGCTGCAGCTGCAGCAACGCCCGCAGCAGCAGCAGCAGCAGCAGCAGCAGCAGCAGCAACAGCGTTCCGGAGGCCGTCGAGTGTCTGGGGGCCTTTGCCGCTGCAGCACAA